CCCCCCCCGGGTCCAAAATTTTTTGTGCCCCGGGCCCCTAGTATGGTATAAATCTTAGAAGAAGCTATAGGCAGTAAAATAGCAGACATTTGTCATAGCAATATTTTTACCAATATAGCTCCTAGGGCCAGGGAAACTAAGGAGAAAATAAACATGGACTGGTAGAATCAACATCATTAAAATATCCATACTACCCAAAGCAATCTATAAATTCAATGCAATCCATATTAAAATATCAATGGCATATTTCACAGACCTAGAAAAATTCCAAAAATTTATGTTGAACCATAAAAGATCCCGAATAGCTGTAGCAATCTTGAGAAAGAATAACAAAGTTGGAGGAATGACAATACCAGATATCAAGTTATAATATAAAGCCACTGTAATCAAAACAGGATAGTACTGGCACAAGAACAGGCATATAGATCAATGGAATGGAACAGAGAACCCAGAAATCGACCCAAGCCATTATGCTCAATTAATATTTGACAAAGGAGGCAAGAGCATACAATAAAGTCAAGACAGTCTCTTCAATAAATGGTGTTGGGAAAATTGAGAAGATAAAAAGAAAATGAAACTAGGTCACCAGTTTACAACATACACAATAATAAAATAAAAATGGATGAAAGATTTAAATGTAAGTCATGAAACCATGAAAATATTAGAAGAAACCACAGGCAGCAAAATCCCAGACATCTCTCATAGATATATGTTTGCTGATACATCTCATAGGGCAAAGGAAACTGAGGAGAAAAGGAAGAAATGGGACTACATCAAAATATAAAGCTTCTGCACAGCAAAAGAAACTATCAACAAAATAACAAGAGAGCCCATTGCATGGGAGAACATATTTTCCAATGATATATCTGATAGGGGGTTAATCTGCAAAATAGATTGGGAACTTATACAACGTAACAAAAGGAAGATAAACAATCCAATCAAAAAATGGGCAAAGGATCTAAATAGATACTTCTTGAAAGTGGACATACAGAAGGCTAAGAGGCCATATGAAAAAAATGATCAATGTCACTAATCATCTGAGAGATTAAAATCAAAAAGAAAATGAGGTACCACCTCACACCTGTCAGAATGGCTACCATCAACAAATCAACAAAGGACAAGTGTTGGTGAGGAGAAAAGCAAACCCTAGTGCACTGTTGGAAATGCAGACTGATGCAGCCTCCTTTGAAAACAGTATGGAGTTTCCTCAAAACATTAAAAATGGAACTGCCATTTGACCCAGTGATCCCACTTCTAGGAATATATCCTAAGAAATTGGAAACACCAATCAGAAAGGATATATGCTTCCCTATGTTCATAGCAGCAAAACTTACAATAGATAAGATTTGGAAACAGCCTAAGTGCCCATCAGTATATGAGTGGGGAAAAGAAACCTATGATACATCTACACAATGGAATACTATGCAGCTGTAAAAAAGAAAGAATTCTTACCATTTGCAGCAGAATGGGTGGACCTGGCAAGTATTATGCTTAGTGAGGATATTTTTTTCCATTGATTTTTAGAGAGAGTGGAAGGGAGAGGGAGAGACAGAAAGAAACACAGATGTGAGAGAGACGCATAGATTGGTTGCCTCCTGCATGCCCCCAACCAGGGCCAGGAGCTTGCAACCGAGGTATGTGCCGTTGACTGGAATCGAACCTGTGACCCTGCAGTCCACAGGCTGATACTCTATCCACTGAGCAAAACCAGCTAGGGCCACAAGATTTTTAAATATTTACTCCCACTTCATCAATTGGTTATCTTTTCATTTTATTAGTGGATAATTTTGAACCACAAAAGTTTTTAATTTTGATGCAGTTCAATTTATCTATTATTGTTTGTTCCTTGTGCTTTGTGTCATATTTTAATATTCATTGTCAAAATTCCTACATCATGAAGATTTATCCTTAATTTTTCTTCTATGGTTTTTTAATGTTTTACTCTTATGTATATTTTTAATCCATTTTTAGTTATTTTTTTTGTATATGGTGTGAGGCAAGGGTCCAATTGAATTCTCTTGTATATGATTATCCAGTTTTGCCAGTACTCTTTTTGGAAAAGACTATAATTTTCTTCACTAACTGGTCTTGGCACCCTCATCACAAATCAGTTGGCTATAAAATGCCTGGGTTTTTTTTTTCTGGACACTCAATTCTAATACATTTATCTATATGCATAACTTTTTGTCAGTCACACACTGTCTTGATTATTGTTACCACTTGAATATTTTAAGTTCTGAAAACAGGAAGAGTTAAATCTCCTAATTTAGTCTTTCTCAAGAATATTTAGGCTATTCTACATCTCTTGCAGTTCCATATGAATTATAGATTTATCTACTATGTTTCTAAAAAGAAGCCAGTTGGGATACTTGTAGGGATTACATTGAATCTGTAGATCAGTTAAGACTTAGCAATGTCAAGTCTTCTGATTCATAAACATGGGATATTTTACCATTTATATAGATCTTTAATTTCTTTTGACAATGTGTTGTATTTTTTCAGGTTATAAATTGTGCACTACTTTTGTTAATTTATTCCTACATATTTAACTCTTTTTGATGCTGTTGTGAATGAAATTGTTCTGGTAATTCATTTTATGATTTTTTATTGAAATTATATTGGAATACATTTGATTTTTGTATATTGAATTTGTATTCTGCAATCTTACTGAACTTGTTTTTTTAAAAATCTTTATTGTTGAGAGTATTACATATTTTTCTTACCCCCCGCCCTATTGTTCCCCTCTACTCGGTTCCTGCCCTATCCCAAGCCTTCACTACCCTATTTTCTGTGTCCATAGGTAATGCATATAGGCATATAAATTTTTTGGTTAATCTCTTCCCACCCCCCACTACCACCTTCCCGTTGAGATTCCTGAACTTGTTTGTTAGTCCTGATAGATTTTTAGTGGATTCCTTATCATTTTTTGTGTATAAAATCACATCACCTCTGAATAGAATAGTTTTGTTCTTCTTTCCAATATGGATTCATTGTGTTTATTTTTTTTTTCCTAGTTGTCTGGCTAAAACCTCAAGCACAATATTGAATGGAAAGGGCAAGAGCAGACATTCTTGTCCTGTTCCCAATTTTAGTGGGAAAGCATCCAATATTTCACCATTACATACAATATTAGCTAGGGTTTTTAATGTTATGTATCAGATTGAGGAGTCTTTCTTTTATTCCAAATTTGCTGAGTGCTTTTTATCAAGAAAGGGTATTTTATTTTGTCAAAAGCTTTTTCTTTGTCTATTGAGATAATTATGTGCTTTTATTTTTATTTTATTGATATTGTATAACATTAATTGATTTGGTATGTAAACCTTGTATCCTGGGGATAAATCCCAATTAATCATTATATATAACTAGAGGCCCAGTGCACAAAATCTGTGCACTCGGGGCAGGGGGAATCCCCCTGCCTAGCCTGTGCCCTCTCACAGTGTGGGAGCCCCGTGATCCATTGCCGTAAAGAGGTAGGCCCCGCCCATCCATCTGGGGCTTCTTGATGGATTGCCCCAAAGAGGTAGGCGGGAGCCAGGAGTCCCTCCTCCGTACCGCGTGGAGCTGCGGGAACCCCAGGCCTCTCTGTATAGAGCTGCTGGGCTCTGCCTCCTCCATGCTGTGCACGCAGCATCAAGTCCCCACCCACTCGCGCATGCCCACTGCACACGCAGCCTCCTGGTGATGGATTGTGACAGTGTGAGGGCATTATGGAGTGACGGTGTGAGGGCGTGATGGCCATTTGCATATTAGCTCTTTATTATATAGGATTCTTTTAAGATGTTTCTGAATTTTGTTTGCTAGTATTTTATTGAGGACTTTTGTCTCCATATTCATAAGAGATATTGGCCTGTATTTTTTATTTCCTGTGATGTTTTTGTTCAATTTTGGCATCAGGGTAATATTGGCCTTGTATAATGGGATGGAAACTTTCCCCTCAACTTCTATTTTTTGGAAGAGTTTGTAAAGAATTAGTACTGTCCTGGCTGGGTAGCTCAGTTGGTTAGAGTGTCATCCCAATATGCCAAATTTGTAGGTTTGATGCTTGATATTTGTTCTTACCATAGCAGGTCTCTTCTTATCTGTCTTACCCTCCTGGTTCCCTTCTCTGTGTTTGCTGGCCTACATTCTAGGCCAGTGATGGTGATTTTTCTTTGTTACATGGCATTTAAATATATAAAATAAATATCAGAAATATAAATCTTTGTTTTACTATGGTTGCAAATATCAAAAAATTTCTATATGTGACACGGCACCAGAGTTAAGTTAGGGTTTTTCAAAATGCTGACACGCCAAGCTCAAAAGGTTCGCCATCACTGTTCTAGGCTGTATTTTCAATAGATCTACAAATGTCCTTACAATTCTCTTTTACCAACCTCCACTCTTGTTGAGAACACCCTTAGGTGTAAACTTCTCCGGGAATAAAAAAACTCAGGTTGAGAAGCTAGATACATACACAGTTCCCCTGGGTCACTGCAGGCCATACTCCTTGTAGAACTTCCTGTAAGAAAGACATCCAAACTTTATTAGCATTAGCAGTTTCTTTCACCTACAGAAACCACAAACCCCCCTAATGCTTCTATACACCTAACTCCCCCCTCCTTCACTGTGTAGATTTCACTGTTGCATGGAACCACCTCTAGCTCTTCTTACACAGTCCTTCTTGCCCTACACTCCAATTATTCAGTGACAATACAGAAGAGCTAGTGGGGATAGAAGAGGCAAACAGATAAAGGGAGGAAATACTTAAGGCTCCTGGACTGATCTCTACATCCCTCTCAAAGTCTTATCCTGCTCCTATAATGAGTTTCTCAAACATTCAGGCTGGCTGATTTTCTGGAATGAAGATAACATTCACTTATCCCGCCAAGAATTCTGGCCTCACCTTTCACACTTATGGGATGCTTTGGAATAGAGACTCTTATACTCTGTCTCTTTCTTGTAGCTGTTGGAAGCTGGTAATCTTCAAAACCTCCAAAAGAGCAGGATGGGCAATTGAGAAGGGGTATCGCTTTATTCCATAGTGGGTCTGAAAAGAAAGAATCTGGGAAAAATGAAAGGAACAGAGGTTTTGTGTATAGCAGACCTAGGTAAAATGTCTACCATTGCCACGTACAGTTGGATGACTTGGAACATCATTTAATCTATCTTATTTATAGGGGTTACTATACACTAATAATCCCTATCATTCATACCTCACAAAATGGTTTGAAGCTCAGATGAATTATCTATAATAATAAAAGCATAATATGCTGATTAGACTGGACGTCCTTCTAGATGAAGCCGGGGTTGTGAGGCAAGCCCGGGTCCCAGGTGCCTGCTGGTGGCCGGAGGGAAGCCTGGGTCCCAGGTGACAGAGGGAAGCTGATGCCAGCAGCTGGGGCAGTGGTTCTCAACCTTCCTAATGCCGCAACCCTTTAATACAGTTCCTCATGTTGTGGTGACCCCCAACCATAAAATTATTTTTGTTGCTACTTCATAACTGTAATTTTGCTACTGTTATGAATCGTAATGTAAATATCTGATATGCAGGATGTATTTTCATTGTTACAAATTGAACATAATTAAAGCATAGTGATTAATCACAAAAACAATATGTAATTATATATGTGTTTTCCGATGGTCTTAGGCGACCCCTGTGAAAGGGTCGTTCGACCCCCAAAGGGGTCACGACCCACAGGTAACAGTCTTAATATAGCAACAGTAAACTACATTGCTACATTTTGCGACAGTATGCATAAAAAGCCAACGTCAGTGTGAAGGTTGAGATTGCTTCTTTCTCACCACATCAGAAATTCTCGGGACAGTCTTTGAAAGAGCAAAACGAAGATCTTTTCAGACAAATCAAGGCATGTTGCATTTGGTCCTTGCAGTGATAAATTAACTTATCAAGATGGCAAAAATGTCAACCAAGTAAGCTTTTTTCTGCAGTTCACTTTTATTGCTGAAAAGTGCTTTGAACTGTGGTCTTGCATTCTGATTAAAAAAGGTTTTGAGTTCATCACGAAGCTCAGAAACACTTTTTAAAATTTTTCCTCTCGACAACCATCTCACTTCAGTGTGAAATAGCAGAGCATTGTTCGGCGCATCTAACTCGTTGCACAGTTGCGAAAACAGTCGACTGCTTAAAGTGCTCGCCTTTACAAAATTGACACAACTTATGACACTTTTCATTACTTCTTGTAACTCTTGTGGCAGGGTCTTCATTGCTAATATTTGCCGATGAATCATACAGTGAGTTCCGATGACTTTTGATGACTCATTCAGTACCAAACGTTGAAATCCAAGAGATCTTATGCTCTTTCAGAAATGAACCAACTGTGTCAAATACATCACGTGCAGTAGCTGTTGTTTCAAGAGGTTTGCAAAAAAGAAACTCATCTTTAAAGTTGCCATCATTAATATACCTCACGTAAACCAGAAACTGTGAACGGTTTGCACCATCTGTAGATTCATCAAGCTGGATAGTAAATATTGGAAGTGGAGCAGATTTAATTTCCTGGATTAC